CTGTCGATTATATAATTATATTCGACAGAAAATTTTTTTGTCGATTATAGTCATTTTCGACTGTTGTTTTTACGTCAAAAATTGTTGTCAATTATGTCTGTCGATTAAGATATAATCGACAGAAATACTTGTATAATCGACAGTATTTTTTGTCGATTATACTGCGTTTTCTAGTAGTGTTTCTGAGGTCTTTTGTTGGTTTGTTATTTCAATCTTGGCATCTATTTCTTCATATTTTTTTGAGTTCTTCAGTATTGTGAGCTTTACTGATTCTATGGCGAGTTTTGAAAGGACTATAACTCATCCTGCTACTGGTATGGTTGCTAAAGAAGTGATAGACCAACCTAATGTCAACCTTGAGTCCCTAAAACAGGTGATATTAAATCTTTTTAATGCTCCTACTACCTTATCTACTACTCTAGGTACCAAACCTTGGTATTTTGATTCTGGTTATTGTAACCATATGTCTTCAATTACTGCTTATTTCTCTTCAATGTCACCAAATAATTCCTTTTCTGATATTTATTCTACTGATGGTACCCCTATGAATGTTAGTCACATTGGCAATATTTCTACAAAGTCATTGACTTTACCAAATACCTTATGAGTTCCAAAACTCAATTATAATCTTCTATCTATCAGTCAACTATGTGATCTTGGTCTTGAAGTAACATTTTCTGCTCATGGTTGTCGTGTGTAGGACCCACGGACAAGACAACTTCTTGGAACTGATCGCAAGGTGGGGCGTTTGTTTGAGCTCAACTATCTACATATTCTTGATAATAAAATTGATACACCATCATTTCAAAATGATCAATTCATACAAACCTTGCTTTGTGCCGTTGAATTAGAGTCTTTACAAATTCCATACTAACAAATTTAGCAAGCTTGTGCTACTACTAATGTTTCGACTCTCCATTTGTGGCACTCACGGCTCGAACATACCTCAGTTAGTAAATTTCGTCCACTTATCTCTCGTGATTTATTAGGATCAGTTCCAAATGAATCCTTGCATTGTGTGTCATGTCAATCTACAAAGCAACCAGCTTTATCTTTTTCGAGTAGTCATTCTCATTCTACTGCTCCTTTTGATCTTGTGCATTCTAATGTTTGGGATCCATCTCCTACACTCACCATGGGGGGTTCCACATACTTCATGTTATTTATTGATGATCATACTCGTTTTACCTAGATATACCTTATGAAAAATCGCTCTAAATTATCACAAATTTATATTGATTTTCCTATCATGGTAAAAACTCAATTCTCTAAAATTATCAAAGTTTTGAGAATTGACAATGCTACTGAATATCTTAGTACTAAACTTCAATCCTTTTTAAAGAACAGGGAACATTGACACAACAATCTTGTCCTTACTTCTAAACAAAATGGGTGAGCCAAACGCAAACACAGACACATCATTGATTCTATTCATGCTCTGCTCATTTCATTTTCTTGTCAAGAGTGATTTTGGGGTGAAGCTGCTCTTACAACTATTTATCTTATTAATCGCATTCCATCATTAGTCCTTAATAACTGGTCTCCATACGAGCATTTACATAGTATTCTTCCTACATATAATCTCCTTAAGGTTTTTGGTTATGCATGTTTTGTTCTTCTTCCACCTTATGAACGTAACAAGTTAAAGCCTAGAGCTCGATCATGTTGTTTTTAGGTTATGGGATTACACAAAAAGGATATCGTTGTCGGGATCCTATGTCACAAAAACTCCAAGTTTCACGTCATGTTGTCTTTTGGGAACACACTATGTTCTCATTGTTGTCAAACTTCAAAGTGTCATCCTCTCATCAACCTCCATTTTTTATTAATTCTTCTATTGAGCTATTTCCTAATGATTTTGATGCAAGTACATCTGATGAGCTCTACAATGCCTCACCACATGCTCTACCTAGTTCTAGAGAAGATGATCTGCTTGTTGGTAATGTATTAGATAATTCTGAGCCTTCTTCTACTTCCTCCTCTATATCACTTGTTGATATTGTTGAGTCTACAAATGAGCTTGTTGCCTCATCCTCGAGTCATCCTACTCGAGTAAGAAACCCTCCCAACTACCTTCGTGATTATCATTGTTTTCCTACTATTACTTCTTTACATGAGCTTCAATCCTATCAAGAGGCATCTTGTAACCCTCTTTGGCAATAAGCTATGCAAGATGAATTACAGGCTCTTGAGAACACTTGTACATAGGATTTAGTTCATCTCCTTGCTGAAAAGTCTCTAATAAGCTGTAAATGGGTGTACAAGATCAAAACATGATTTGATAGTTCTATGGAGTGTTATAAGGCACGCTTGGTTGCCAAGGGTTTTACATAAGAGTATGGAATAGACTATAAGGAAACTTTTGCTCCAATTGCTTGTCTTACATCTGTGCATAGTTTGCTTGCTATTGCTGCTATGTAAAGATGGAAATTGTTTCAAATGGATGTGAAAAATGCTTTTCTTAATGGTTACCTAAAAGAAAAAGTTTATATGAAACCACCTCCTGGGCTCACCCATCCTCCAAACAAGGTATGTAGATTACGACGTGTATTATATGGGTTGAAACAATCCCCTCGAGCCTGGTATGCAAAGTTTAGTGTTATTGTGAGTGAGTTTGGTTTTACTTCCAGTCCACATGATACAGCTTTGTTTATTCATAAGACTACTCGAGGTATGGTTCTTTTACTTCTTTATGTTGATGACATGATCATTACTAGAGATGATGTCACAGGTGTTGAGGAGCTAAAACAATCTCTCAATCAGAAATTTGAGATGAAAGATCTTAGTGTTTTGTGCTATTTTCTAGGGTTTAAAGTCACCTCTTTCGATGACGGCTATTTGCTGTCTCAAGTAAACTATGCCTCTGATCTTGTTTCTAAAGTTGAATTCAATGATGATAAGAGTGTTTCTACACCTCTTGAACCTAATGTCAAGCTTACACCTATGGATGGCTCTCCACTTTCTAATCCTACTCACTATTGGCAATTGGTTGGTAGTTTGGTTTATCTTACCATGACACGCCCTGACACAGCACATGCAGTTCACATTGTTAGTCATTTTAAGGCTGCTCCTCGCGCCACTCATTATGCAGCAGTCATTCGCATTATTCGCTATGTTAAGGGAACATTGTTTCATGGACTCCATTTTTTTGCCAACTCCTCCCCTATGCTTCGCATTTACTCTGATGCTGATTGGGTTGGTGATCCTTTTGATCGTAGATCTACCACTGATTACTGTCTTTTTCTTGGTAATTCTCTTATCTCTTGGCAAAGTAAAAAACAAACTATTCCATCTCACTCTAGTACTGAAGCTGCGTATAAAGCTCTCGATGATACTAGAACTTCTTTCATTATTGTAGCTTCTTGAAGATATGGGTATTCCTCAACCTTCTTCTATTGATTTATATTGTGATAATCAAAGTGCTATGCAAATTGCTCATAATGATGTCTTCCATGAACACACTAAACATATTGAGGTTGATCGTCACTTTATTTACTATCATGTTGCACAAGGAACTGTTCATTTGGTTTTCATTAGTTCCATTGATCAACTAGCAGACCTCTTTATCAAGGCTCATTTTCCTAGACATTTTCGTACTCTTTTTACCAAACTCAAGTTGATTTCATCACAACCACCTTGAGTTTGAGACGGGATATTAAAATGTGAACACAATTATTCAAATTATATTCATAATTAGTGATGTGAACACAATTATTCGGATTATATTCATAGTTATTGTAAATATTTTCTACTTTAGAATGTTCTTTTGTATATTTTATACTTTAAAATAATTTTTTTGTAAATACCTATATATAGACCATTGTACATATAATATTATTCAAAAAAACAATAAACATTTTTTCAAATATTTCTTATCTTTTCCTATTTATAACAATTGGGTAAAGAAAAAGATGATGCATTAATCCGCATTAACATGACATTGTAAGTATTCCCAATATGAACTTGACTCGAAATTTTACATTAATTTCATAAAAAATTTAAATTAAAATTCGCAGTGTGGAACTGTTAAAAATGGTAAAGAAATTGCAAAACCACCTCTAAAATTATTGAATTTAAGTAAATTCGTATGAGAGGAAAAACGTTAACACATTTTACCAACATAAATGATTAATTTAAAGATTTTGATATAAATTTAATTGCTAAAATTAGCGGCCACCATCATGTCCTTTAATATCTTATGGCGTGCAATTGCCGATTCGTAAGGATGACAGCTCCGGATGACGTAACGATAATGGATGCGGATATCAACCACTGAATTTAAATTAAAATCTTTAAATTGGCAATTTAAAGATTTAAAAACCGTAAAATAGGCTAATTTTTTTTTTTTTTAAGTTTGAATTTGCCTCAACTCAACAATTTATAGAGTGATTCTACGCATTTTACCTTCAAAACTCAGAGGGAGGTTTAAAAAGTAAAATTACCGCTTTCTAGTATAGCTAATAGATAATAAACTCAAAAAAATTTTAAAAATTAATTAATATTATGTTTTATGGAAAAATAATATTTTATCATCTTACAGTATGGTTGTTGTTTTTGCTTTTTAATTTTTTTTAATAAATTTTATAACTCTGAATAAAAAAACTTGTTTCATATCTATTTGTTAAAATATTATAGGATTTGAAAAGAAGTAGAGAAAATTAATTTTAATATTCCTAAATAAAAGCAGAGAGTATAAGGCAAGTTGTTTTCTTAAAGATTTTTTAGAAGATTTGTCTAAAAATTTATTTTTTAATTAATATTTTTAAAAATTAGTAGTTAAATTAAAAATTTTATTTATATAAATCTTGCATGTTAATTTTCATATTGATTTAATATTTATAATTCTTTAATTAAAGAAATTCTATTCACTAATAATGTTTAATGATGTTAAATTCTTTATAATTGACAAAGTGATAAGACATATTAAAACAATTTAAAAAATAGTATGTATAATTTATATTCATAAAATTTTTAATTTAAAAATTAGTATGTATAATTTATATTAATAGTTGATTTTTAAAATTATTAATTAAAAAATCAATTTCTACTGGTTTCATTCAAAAAATTTAAAAAGACGACTTGAAAACTACTTTTCCTATATAATTTTATTTATTAATGGGTTGAATCTTGTTTTAAACACATTATTGATTTTTGGTTTTTAAGTTTTTGCTTTTAAAAATTACAAAATTTATGAAAATCAAAATTGAAAACATGAAACTACAATCTTACTAAAATGAAACTTAAGAAAAAAAAAATTTTAAAACTGTAAGGACAGGTCCGAGGTGCCAAGCCTCGGACTGATACAGTAATTCCTTTATGACCGAAATGAAGGACAAATCCAAAGCCTCCCGCTCAAATAGCTGCATGACAATGACAATAAGCATACCCGCACCTGATTCCTTATGATGAGCGGCACAGCAAGTATGGTGGACATCCGTGCATCTGAATACCTCTCAAATTCCCGGTCCTGGAATAATCGTCTGGATAGACACGTCAAGCTCCGATTATCTTGATTGGCATGCCACGTGGGTTCCTCATTAGATCCTATAAATACCCCCCCGGGCCACGTCAAAAGATAATTGAAACCAACCCTAAGCTCTTTTTATCTCCGCCCTAAAGGTAGTCCCGATTATTGCTGACTTAAGCATCGAAGTGTCTACCCCGAGTTCCACCTCGAGGCTTTGCAGGTCATCTCGGAGTGCAGACGCGGACTGAAGAAGGACTTCTGGTTTGGTGCAATTACATTGGCGCCATCTGTGGGAATCGAACTGAAAGCTTTCTAGTTGCTCTTTTATCATGGTTCACACTCGATCAGTCCGAGCTAGTAATTCATCTCTGCCTCATGGGCAAGGTCAACCCCCCAACAACCTTCCGCCTCTGATCCCACCTCAACTCCCAATTCAACCTCCACCTCAGCTCCCACCTCAGCTCCCCACTATGTTCCCTTCTGTTGATCATGCAGAAGGAGAAGATGAAAACCAACCCCATACCTCAGCTCACAATTCAACTTCCACTGCCAACCAAGACGTAGTGGCAGCTCAGCTTGCTGCCATGCAACAACAGTTTGGTGTTTTTCAGTTGGTACTGGCTCAACTTTTAGCTAGAAATAATCATGGTGATCCCCTCATTAATTTACTGAACCCTGCTCAACAACCCCCAGCTCCACAATAGAATCCTCAACCGGTTTAGCATGCTCTCGCCATTAGTGAATCTCAGGGTCAATCCCACATAGCACCTGCTCAACAACCCTTCCCTGATGATGTCACTCGCCACCTCGATAGCTTAGAAAAGCTAGTAGCTGAACACCGAGGTGCTCCACCCCCACACCATGCTGCTGACTCCATACCTCACCCCCTGAACACCAACATTACACTGGAACCCTATCCTACTGGCTTCAAAATACCACAGCTGGAGACTTATGACGGAACAAAGGATCCTGATGATCGTCTGCATGCTTTCTACTCTTACATGCAAGCTCAGAACACCTCTGACGCGTTGATGTACAAAATCTTCCCCTCTACTCTCCGAGGTAATGCCCGAACTTGGTATTACAGTTTACCTCCAAGGTCAATCAGCTCTTATACAGAAATGGCATCTGCCTTTGCCACTAAGTTTTCCAGTAGAAGGTTGATTAGGAAAACTACTTCTGAGCTGATGCGAGTTAAACAGAGGGATGGAGAATCTCTGAAAAACTATATGAGCATGTTCAATGATGCAGTATTGGAGGTTAGTTCCTTTGATCAAGATGTGGGAATTGCAGCTGTGATCTCCGGTCTTAAACATGACAGGTTCAGAGACAGTTTGATCAAGCATGCTGCCACCACCTTTAGCAAGGTGAACGATAGGTCTCTGAAATTTATAACCGTTGAGGAGTATGCCCTGGCGCAGAATCCGACTCCTTCTAAGAACCAGAACCCAGAATGGAGAGATGACAATCCGAGTCGGAAAAGGATGAGGATGGCGCAGAACCGAGGTCCGATGTTGACCTCCCCACCAAGATTCGGAAGGTCGAACTCAACACCCCCGCAACAATCTGCAGGTAAACCTCCAGTTAATTGGACTCCCTTTAATATGCCAAGGTCACAAATTTTTATGCAGATCAAGAATAAGATGGATTTAAGGCGTCCTGGCCCAATGAAAACTGTTGCTGCTAGCCGAGATCATACCAGATATTGTGATTTTCATCAAGATCACGGCCATACTACAGAGCAATGTAACAGCTTAAAGTCCGAACTGAAAAGTCTAGCTCATAAGGGAATGCTGAATGAGTATGTTCAGAGAGCTGCACCGCCACGATTTGTCAAAGAACAAGGGCCACAGCCTCAAGGAGCCCGTAACCCACCAAACAGGCAAGGTGTGGGATATCAGCAAAACCCACCTCCGCTCCCACCACCAGCTAGAATCATACACATGATCACGGGAGGTTTGGAAGCAGGTGGACTGAGCTCTAAACAGCGAAAGCTATATATCAGAGAGGTTAAGCATCAGAACCGAGCTCATAAACAGAAGTTTGATGATGCTGAGTGGAAGAATCAACCCATTACTTTCACATCTGCTAATCTTGATACAGTTGTTACACCCCATAATGATCCCTTGGTCACTTATGTCATGATTAATAACTGTGAAGTACAGCGTGTCCTTGTTGACACCGGGAGTGCACCAAACATTATGTACTTCCACTATTTCGAGAGTCTTGGACTGGATCCAGCGTTGTTGCAGAAATATGATGGTCTTATTTATGGTTTCAACAACCAACCTATTCTGGTAAAAGGAGTTCTTACCCTCCATGTGGCTTTCGGGAGTGGCCGGACCTATGTGTTATTCGCCGACCCACATTGACTGAAATCCGAGCTATGGTTTCCCAATCTCACCTCTGCATGAAGTTCCCAACTCCTATGGGAATAGCAACACTACGAGGAAACCAAGAGGTGGCCAGACATTATTATCTCACCACGGTAACACAACCAACGAAGGGAAAAGATCAAACACCCGAGGCCATTCCCCAGTGAATTCCTGATAATCAGCAAGTTATGGGTGTAGAGATTGTAGATAATCGACCGGAAGATGAAACCAGTGCTGCTCCGGTCGAAGATGTTAAAGAAGTGCTCATTGATGACAGAGATCCGAGCCGAAAGACACAGATCGGAACTAGATTGAACCCGGAGGAAAGAGCAGAGCTAATAGCTTTCCTCCGAGCTAACAATGATGTGTTCGCATGGACTTCGGCAGATATGCCAAGAATTCCTAACTCAGTATCCCAACACAAGCTTAGCACCAATCCATCGAAGAAACCAGTGGCCCAGAAGCGGCATCTCTTCTGGGGGGAAAGGCTTCAGGATATTAAAGAAGAGGTTGAGAAACTTCTACAAGCTGGTTTCGTCAGGAAAGTTGATTACTGTGAATGGGTGACTAACCCAATCCTGGTGAAAAAGGCAAATGATAAATGGCGAATGTGCATTGATTATACAAATCTTAACCAAGCCTGCCCCAAGGATTGCTATCCGATGCCGAGCATCGACAAGTTAGTTGAAGCGGCTTCAGGCAATGAGAGGTTAAGCCTCTTGGATGCATATTTTGGGTATCACCAGGTGCCGATGGCTCCCGAAGACGAAGAGAAAACCTCGTTCTATGCTGGTGATAAAATTTATTGCTATGTCATGATGCCGTTTGGCTTGAAAAACACAGGTGCTACTTATCAAAAAATGGTGACCATCGTCTTCCGAGCTCAGATCAGCAAGAATCTAGAGGTGTATGTCGATGACATCGTAGTAAAAAGCCTGAAAGCAGAAGACCATCTAGCTGATCTCGACAAAACCTTCAACAACCTCAGAAAGAACAAGATGCGGTTGAACCCAGCCAAATGTATTTTCGGCATGGAGTCTGGAAAGTTTCTCGATTTCATGGTGTCCCGAAGAGGGATTGAGGTCAATCTAGAGAAGATCAGAGCAATTGCCGAGATGGAACCGCTGAAATCAGTGAAAGATATACAGAGGTTGACTGGAAGGGTGGCAGCTCTGCACCAATTCATATCGAAGTCAGCAGATAAGTGCCTGCCATTCTTCAAGATCATGAGGTCAGCCGCCCAGAAAGATGAATCAGGAAAACAAAAGAAGTTTGAATGGAGTCAGGAATGTCAAGCTGCATTCGATGAGCTGAAGTCTTATCTTAGCTCGCCACCTCTACTAACTAAGGCTATAGATGGAGAGATTCTTTATTTGTATCTCGGAATTTCAAATGAAGCCATTAGTTCGGTTCTGGTAAGAGAAGAAACCAAGCAGCAGAAACCAATCTATTATATCAACAGTGTATTGCACGGGGCAGAGCTGAGGTATCCTATAGCTGAGAAAGCAGCATTAGCTGTTGGCACTTCGGCCAAGAAGTTGAGGCCATATTTCCAGTCACACCCAATTATCGTTCTCACAGATCAACCTCTCCAGTAGATTCTACAGAAACCAGAGTGCTCTGGAAGATTAATTAAGTGGGCAGTAGAACTGGGGGAGTTTGAGATAACGTTTCAGCAGAGATCGGCAATCCGAGCTCAACCACTAACAGATTTCATTGTCGAATGCACCCCATGTCCTTCATCCTCTAATCCAGAGCCCAACGACTGGACCTTATATGTTGACGGGGCATCTAGCAGCAAAGGTTCAAGAGCGGGCGCTCTCTTGATTGGTCCAGAGGGTTATCGAAACGAACATGCTTTGAAATTCAACTTTGATGCAACAAATAACATGGCTGAATATGAAGCTCTGCTACTTGGCCTACAGCTAGCATTGGAGTTAAAAATCAGTGCAATTCAAGTATACAGTGACTCCCAATTGGTAGTAAACCAAATCAACTCAATTTGCGAAGTCGTTGATCCTATGATGGTGAAATATGTAGCCTTGGTGGCCGAACTGAAACGCAAATTCCAGAAATTCTGTTTGAGCAAAATCCCCCGAGCTGAGAATGAACAAGCAGATTCTCTCTCCAAGTTTGCCTCGGATAGCTCTTTAAGTTCCAGATCCGTTTTTGTAGAGGTCTTAGATGAACCAAGCTTCATGAAGCCTTGGGTGATGGAGATTGGCACAAACCCTAACACGCCGAGCTGGACTGATTCAATCATCTCCTTTTTGTGAGATGGAATAGTACTTGAGGATAGGCAGGAGGCAATGAAGTTGAGGAAGAAAGCATCTCGGTATATAATCGTTGATGGGGTCCTGTATAAGAGATCTTTCTCACTTCCTCTTCTACGATGTTTAAACCCCTATGAAGTTGAATATGCACTTCGAGAGGTGCATGAAGGTGTCTGTGGGAGCCATGTTGGTGCTAGGACTCTAGCTCACAAAGTCTTAAGGCAAGGATATTACTGGCCAAACATGCATAAAGATGCCACTTACTTTGTTCAGAAATGCCCGAAATGTCAATTCTTTGCACATCTGACTCATCAACCAGCAGAGGAGCTCACAAACTTGGTAGCACCATGGCCATTTGTTCAGTGGGGGCTGGATCTTTAGGCCTGTTCATGAAAAGGGTTGGTGGTGTAACCCATCTGGTTGTTGGTGTGGATTATTTCACAAAGTGGGTTGAAGCTCGGCCATTATCTAGTCTTACCTCCAAGAAGGTCGGAGACTTTGTTTTCAGCTTGATCATCTACAGATATGGGATCCCGAATCAAATTGTGGCTGATAATGGAACCCAATTCAATTGCTCCTCATTCCGAGATTTCTGTTCCAATTATGGGATCAAGTTACAGTTCACCTCCGTTTACCATCCGGAGTCCAATGGCATGGTTGAATCTGTTAACAAATGCACTTTAGAAGGTATAAAGCCGAGATTAGAACAGCATAAGGCCAAATGGGCAGATGAGCTCAACAACGTCCTCTGGGCATACAAAACCACGAGCCGAACTGCCACAGGTATCACTTTAAACCGAGTCTATTTGATTAATTTATATATTATTCTACTTCTTCTGTTACGCTTTACCTTAGAGCAAATGTGCATAATGCATAAAGTGCATTCTAAAGTTATAATTAACTGAAATAGGTGAAACACCCTACCACTTGGCCTTTGGTACCGAAGCAGTCATTCCTGTTGAAATAGGAGTCCCAAGCTTTCGGGTCACCCATTTCGATGAAAGGTGAAATGGACAACTGCTTCGAGAAAACCTTGATCTGCTTGCTGAAGTCAGAGAAGAAGCTCAGCTTCGAACTCTTGTATACAAGCAGAAACTAGCCAACTTCTACAATAAACGGGTCCGCCCTCGAACATTCAAAGTAGGAGACCTTGTTCTTAGAAAAGCTAGCCTAACGGGGTTTGAAACTCGTTTTGGCAAACTCACCCCGAATTAGGAAAACCCTTATACCATGGCCGAGGTGCCACATCCTGGTGCCTATGTCCTCCAAGACGCTGAAGGAAAGAGAGTTCCTAGAGTCTGGAATGTCAATAACTTGAAGAAATTTTACCCCTAATAAAATTCTTTCAAGTGATCTATGTCTTACTATTCTTTACACTTCTCACTTCGTATTTGTTGAGTATCATTTTACCTCTTATTCTATGTATCCAAGGTCAATTAGCCCTGGAACCTCATTTCTGATTAGTAAATGTCACTTCACATGTGAAGTGCTTTATTTCCTTTTAATTCATTTGCAATGATGTCCTTGTTCTTAATTTATCTGAAGTGATTTACTTCTTCTTAATTTGTCTGAAGTGACTTACTTTCCTTTTGTTTATTTCTGAAGTGGTTAGCCTTCTTTCAAATCACGTCTCAAGTACTCTCAGTTCTTTTATTCATAAAAAATAACAAAAATATAAACCAAACATAAACAAATATATAATTTCATTTAACGAAGTAACAGTATTACAAACTGTTTAAATGTCTTTACAAAAAATTAAGAAATAAAATTATTTCTCTGCTGAGAGAGGTGACTCCACTGGCTCTTGCTCAGCCGGAGGAGGTGGCTGTGTTGGCTACTGCTCGTCTGGCAGAGGAGGCTGCTCATCGTCGGAAGGAACTGGATAAACCTCCACTTTTGGAATTGGTTGCCTCTCATCCACTTCAGTTCCCTCCACTCTTGCCTCCACCTCGTCTTCCTCTACCTCTGCCCTTTCTTCCTCCACTGCAACGAACTCGAAGTCGAATTGTGGAGGGAAAACAACAAGACTGTCTGCACCATGCTCCCACCTCAGCTTGATCTGAGGATGGAAGTCTGTTGACATGCTCTCGCCATCCTCCTCTACTCCTTCTTCTTGCTCGCCGAAGGTGATCTTTGTTACATCCACTTCAGGATATACAGCCTTCACCTTCTTTCTGCAGTCTGTGAAAGCAATGATGGCAGTGGGCAGCCGGTACAGGTTGACAATGTTGTCAAACGAGCTGGAGCTGATGAAGTTGCTGATGTGCTCCTTCATTCCGTTGTGCACCAGGGTCTGCACATTCTCCTTCAGCTCCACGAAAGCCTCCTTCATCAACTTTATTTCTTGTGCCTGAGCCTCACGCTCACTTTCAAAGATCCTACGTTTGCTCTCCTCAAAGACGAGCTTGGTGCTCAGGGAAGCCCTCTCCTGCTCCAACTGTTTCACAGTGGGAACCACCTCGTTTAGCGACTCTTGTAGTTCTTTATTTTTTCTTTTCCAGCTCCCTCCTTCTCCTTCTGCAGCTGGTCACACTGCCTCTGCAAGAGTGAGCGCTCCCTCAGGCTCTCCATGAACTCCTAGGCTAGACCATTCACCCAGCTCGCGCTCTGCAAACCAAAGCAGAAGTTAAGAGAGAAAGAAGAGAAGAAGAAACAGGTTAACTAAACAACATCAATAATTTAACATACCTCTAGAACGTGCTTCACAACAGACGCTCCACCATAGCTCAGAGCTTCATCCCGCGCGTTGCGTCTGTCCATTTCAGGGAAGGTGCTGTTGATGAACCACCTAGCCCCCGTCATGTTCTTCGCCTCAAACAGGCTGCTCTGAGGTCCCAACGGGGGAACAAAGCCCTTTCCCTTACCAGGAGCTCATACCTCAGCCCCCTCCTCCAACTGTTTGAGCTCAGGGTTCAGCTTAACAGGAGGAGGCTGAGGTACAAACTAAGGTACCTCATTCCCCCTCTCCTCCTCCTCCACCACTTTCTGCTTCTTCTGCAATGCCCTCCTCTCCCCCCAACCCTTCCTCTTCAACTGTGGCACCTCCTCCTCCGTCTCAGCTGAAGTCGTGGGCACTACCTCCTTCCTAGCCCTCCCCTCATCCACTTGCTTGGTTGAAGTCGTTGACTTCTTCCTTGGCTTCTTGGGGATAGCCACTCCTCCAAAAGTGTTCAAAAATTGATCCATTTCAGTTGCAAAGCAAGAACACAATATTAATCACAGTTCTATACTCTACATTCAGTACTACAATGCAAAACTAAACCAACTTTCACTTAAAGTGCTTGGCCCATAGAGCTCAGCAGCTTCTATGCATTGTGTGCTGGTGAGGTCCATAATATTTAGTAAATCCCCCCCTTCCTCACCAACTTCCTCACTTCTTCCTCCTCATCCTCATTCAAACTAAACCTATTC